ATTGTTCAAAATGCCTTTCCTCGCCGGTGGTTAACTAATTTGTGCTGACATATTCATTTGGTTGAGGAGAGAAGCTTAGGGTGCGATATAAGCCCAGCTCTCGTAGAGGCTTACATAAACTCATGGGGCCTTTTTTTGGGATGCCCACTATCCAGTTACACTGCACCTCATAGTCTACAATGATCAGCAGTCTCTGCAAAACCTGTCTACATACCTCCAGGCAAGTGAGTCACTCCCCTGACATGTCTGAGTCTCTGGGAGACTTTCCAGCAAATGAGCAAACCCAGGAGACGTAGAACACGGCGGGGACTGACAGAGGGACTGTTGATACTGGACACCATGGAGTTACACAGCAAATCAAACATTTGGGACACTTGGACTCTGCTCTTCTTGTAACTAGTCTGCTACTAATCTTAGCAGAACAAATTATGAATACAGATTAAAAATTTTCAACAAATGGATTCCAGAAACTCAGATGCTAAGCAGAATAAGCACAATAAAAGCGTATCTATGTGTAGTCTAGTAAGAGAAAAACTGAAGATGGAAAAAGTAGCCATGGGGGGGGGGATAATTTACAGGGGAATAACTGAAAATTATCATTGATTTTTCATTAGAAACAATGGAGAAAAACCCCAAATCTTTTAACTTAGATTTGCATATCAAGTAGAAATATCTTCAGAATGAATATTTATAGAATAACAATGGCTGACAAAATTTGTCACCAGAAAAAAAATATTAAAGGAAGATCCTTATTCTGCAGCAAAATGATGTTTCTAAGTGGGCTACCATGTTCTCTTGTCAGTATACTCTTCTAGTTGGTTTGGATGATCTCAGCAATATTATGCTTATATGTGATATTAATGTTACGAATTCTGGTTATTAAGTATAAAAGAAAAACAAGTAGAAAATTGCCACCATAGTAATAGCTTCAGAAAAGATCTACCCATGGATGTAAAATGTTGAGAAAAAGGTAATCAGTAGAATCTGAAGGTATTTTTCCCTAAGATACCAACTGCGAAGATGAAGAATAAAGTGAAGGAATCTAGCAGATACCATTTAACCAAGATTAGAATCAGTAGTGATAAGACATTGCCTTCCTGAACTCTCACATAGAATATCGAGAGGAGTTGAAAATTAGTGACTTAAGCTTCCAGTTTAAGAAGCTAGAAGATGAATGAGATAAACTTAAATCGAGGAAAGTTAATGATAAAGCTGAGAATGGAAACTAGTACATGGAAAAAAGGGACAGATAGTAAAGAAAATGAGTAAAAACCAAAGGCCAAATATTTGAGAAGATTTCCCATTTTTTATCAACTCCTGGCTTTAAGGTTAAAAAAGAAAACAAACTAAGTGGCGCTGTGTTCCAAGGCGCCTGTGCAAGACTGCAGGTGCCCGCTGCCCTGTGGGCGGTGACTCCCCACCATTCCCGAGTTTTAATTGTATTAGATGCTATCATTCTGCAAATGCCTTTTTAAGGAAATGGCTACATACAAGTGTAACAACAGCCAATACTAAATGCATCACGGCTGAATGAGTTTCTCATGTATCCTGACTGTGGCAATTGCCATGGGAGATTGGATGAATGTTAGAGATCCAGAAAGCAAAAATACTTCTCAATATATCTTAGAAACCAAGATGTCCCCATCAAGTTTATATTCACATCAGGTACTAAGCTCCTTAAAACCTTTATCAAAAATGTACACAGTCAAATTATTTGTATCTTGATCAGGAATTGACTGCTTTCCGTTTTATTATGTGAAGAATAGAAAGATAAAAAGGCAAAGAGTGAATTAAATATATTTGCAATTTTACATGGTATGAATAAACTACTTGTACTACAATTGGAGAACCATCTAGCTCAGAAAAATGTGGAAACATGGAAACTAACTGGGAATTGATATGGACCATTTGCAAAGCTGCTATGCAAAGCTTATGGAGCAACTGGAAACTCCCAGGAGGGAAATGATTGGACTTCAGGAAAGAGACAGAGAGTTACAATACAAGAACCAGAATTTGCACCAGCTACTTAAAAATGAGAAGGATGAGGTACAAAAATTACAAAATATCATTGCAAGTCGAGCTATTCAGTATAATCATGATATGAAGAGAAATGAATGTGATTATAACTAAAGGAATGTCTGCATCAACTTGTTAAGAATAAGAAAGTTTAAAAAATAGTTATGGATGTTTTGAATCATGTGGGAAAAGCTGATGGAAAGAGAGGCTCTTGGAGGCCTGGTAAAAACTGAAGCTAGGAATGAAGATGAAATGCATTAAATTGTCTTCAAAATTATGAATATCATCAGAAACAAATCCTAATGGGAAATGCTGAACTTAAGAAGGTTCTTCAGCAAATGAAAAAGGAAATGGTCTCTTTTCTTTCTCCCTAAAAGCAGAAACCTAGAGCAAGACCTGATGAGAGTACAGGAACTGTTATTTCTGATGTTGAAGAAGATGCTAGGGAGCAGAATCGAGAGAGAATGTGGGACCTTTCCTGTGAATCTGTGAGAGAGCAGCTTATGAACAGCATCAGAAAACAGTGGGTAATTTTGAAATGTCTGGGGTAATCGGTGTAGGTGTGTCAGAGGCAATGCGATTGGCACAGGATAGAGCAGGGTTTAGGGCTGTTGTGCATAGGGTCGCTGTGAGTCGCAAACGACTCGACGGCACATAACAACAACAACATGTAGGAAAATTTGATAACCAAGTTTCAGTGGTACACTTAGGAGGTTATAATGACGAAGAGGTGATTTTATGGCAAGACCATGAACAAGAGGGAAAAACAGTGTAAAGAAATGATTAAAACTCAGCAGCAACTTTTAGAGCAGCAGCTTGCTGCTGCATGTGATGATGACATCACTTCTCTACTGTGAGATTGTTATTTACTGGAAGAAGAAGAGTGGTCTCTATTTAAAGAGCAGAAAAAGAATTTTTAGAGAGAAAGACAAAGATTTACAGATGCTGCTGTTTGCCTGAGGTTGGAGAGAAAAGCATTTGAAGAACGAGCCAGTTGGTTAAAGCAGCTGTTTTTAAATATGACGGCTTTTGACCACGAGAACTCAGAAAATGTGGAACTTTTCAGTGACTTTTCAGGAAGTTCTGGTCAGGACAACCTTAAAATACACACAAAGCCATGACAAAAGAACCTTCAAAGTGTGCCTACTGGGTCTTCAGTTTGCACAGCTAAACTTACTAAATCTCTTCCTGCTTTTCCTTCTACTTCAGACTTTGGCCAGACACGATCCTGTGTATCTGAATATAGGACTGCCACATGGTGAGGTTGGGTTAGTGAAACAAACTGACAAAAAGTTCAAACAATGAACTGGATATAACTCCTGAAGAAACTAAACCAAATCAAGTTGGAAGAGACTGTCTAACTCAGACATGGAGTATGGCATCTTGATCTGGATCTCGGGAAGGTTTCTATGGGGGATGCTCCTTGACTTATACAAATTCACACGTGGAAAAAGATGATTTACCTTAAACATGTGGTCTAAAATTTTCTCCTCTCATATGTTCCTAAACTTTCCCATCTAAAATGAAACAGGGTGTGTCATGAAAGTCAGTCATCTTTCATAATTTAAGAAAGCTGGTGTGAGTGGTTTTTTTTGACTAGCCTGTCCTTCCCCCAAAAGCTAAAATGTTAAATCTATTTTACACGTTGCCACAAATCACAGCAAAAAAATGTGTTTCTAAGCACAATCATCAGTTTAAGTATGCCCCAACGTGTAAAAGGATATAAGCACTCTGGATAAGTATTTTTTAGTAACAGAAGCATCTGGTTCTGTGAAAAGCATGTATAGGTATTTGGATGAGAACAAAAGAATGAGTTTCTTCTTGTAGGTATTGAAAATAGCACTTTTAGAAAACTGATTATTTTAAATGTTTAATTTTTGTTTTACATATAACTGGCCTTGGAAGTTTGACCCTTACCTGAATGTGTAATGTAGATTTTTAACAAAGCAAGCTCTATATTTATTATATTTAGTGTGATTTGAAATTAACTCATATGTTTTAAGTTGAAATTAGTACATGTTTAGTACATAGATATGCATGATTATGTTACGAGACTTTAAGATTTAAAATTTTGCATATCTATAATGATAGTATTTCATGCCAATAAAATTTTTTTAAATTATAGTCTCTATACAGATATATTAGGGCCATTGCCATGCTACATTTAAGCATTTTTAGAGCCATCTGTGCAATAAAGGTTCAAAAGTTAAAAACAAAAACCAAAAAAAATCTAAGTGATCAATTGATATGACTAGAAAAGGAGACATCACTACGGAGCCTGCTTTGTGGTCAAGTACAGCTCATGATGACCCAATGAACAACCGACCTGAACACCACCCTATTCTGTGCTGTCCTCACAATCTCTGACACACTGAAGACCATTGGCGCAGTCACCATAGCAACTCACTTGGTCATGAGTCCTGTCTTCTGCCACCCTTCCACCTTCCCTAATAAGATAACCCTTTCTAAGGAATAACTTCTAGCAACATACCCAAAGTATAGATACTAAGAAAATAATATTATTAATTTACAGCAATAAATTCAATAAATCAGTTGAAATATACAAATTCTTTGAAGAATACAAATTGCCAGGGGATAGGAGAAGCAGAAAATTCAAGTACCCTTGTATTTGTGTTTTACTGTAATTAAAAACCTAACATACAACCAAAATTCTGCTGCTGCTACTGTAGTGGTAAATTTTATCAAAATACATCTGGAGGAGAACGATTATCTTGTTTTATACAAACTGCTTTAAAGGAAGAAAAAAACCCGAATTTATGTTATGAGTCCTGCAATGCCTCGTATCAAGATAAAGGACACTATGAGAAAATAACATGTGTACACTAATTGAAATGGCATGAAAATATATTATTATACCTTAAGCTGGGAGGTTATAGAAATAGTTTAATCTTCATTTTTCTGTAGAATTGATTATATATAGAGTTTACTTATATTAATTTTTGTTTCTTTTTTTAAAAAAACAGGGTCAAGAATTTGCTCCAAAAAGTGTCGTGATAATTGGTCACTCAATGGGTGGCCTCGTTGCAAGAGCATTGCTTACACTGAAGAATTTTAAGCAAGACCTGATAAATCTTCTTATTACACAAGCAACACCTCATGTTGCTCCTGTGATGCCATTAGATCATTTCATTACAGGTAAGGATTGTTACAGAAACACTTATTTATCTCCACTTGATTGTTCAGGATTAAATCAATCAATAATCCTGCAGCCACTTCCTTTTAGAGTGCGCTACAGATCTACCAAGGAAGCCTGGTGGGGCAATAGTTAGGAGCGTGGTCCAAATGCTTGGTGGTTTGAACCCACCATTGACTCTCCTGTAGAGAAGAGAAGACCTGTTGATGTACCGCTGTAGAGATTGGAGCCTCATTCACTTTATGGGGGAAGTTCTAGTCTCATATAGGCTCGCTGAATTGGAGTTGATTGTCCAATAAAACCAGCACATTTATTATATGTTTGTGAATATCTTGCAAATGAAGTTTTTGTGACTTTTCAACCTAGATTTGCAGTTGAAACTGCTGTTAACATTCTGGCTCTACCATCTTACCATGTACAGCATGTTTTATACTCCTTAGCTCCTATGGCGCTTCTTACACTCATTCGTGATGATGATCCCCTGTCTCTTAATGTATGTTTAACCATATATTTTGTTCAGTTTTTTTTCAGTACTCTATTTCAAATTAAACATACTTAAACTCCCCCTGCACCCCCACTGCTGTGGCATTGATTCTGATCCTCCATCAGCGTTCTCAAGCTGTGAACTTTCAGCAGAAGAGACTGCCCACCTTTCTCCTGAAAATTAACTGGTGGATTTGTACTGCTGACCTTGCAGTTAGCAGTTCAGTGCTTTATGCACCATGCCAACAGGGCTCTCTAGGAATGTCTGGTTTTTAAATACATAGGGTTTCAATGCTGTATAGAGTGATTTGTTGTTGTTGTTGTTGTGTACCATAGAGTCAGAACTGACCTGTAACCAACCCTCTGGCAAGTTTTCAGAGGAAGTTAATCATGTGGGAGGAGTTGTCCCTCATCCTTCTCCCAGAGATTAGCTGGTGGATTTGAACCATATGTCTTCAAGATTACAGCACAGTTCTTACCACTAGGCCACCAGAGCTCCCTCCATATAGTGAACTAGAATTGTTATTTGAGTATCATGTTAGGAATATGTACTAACTTTGTATAGTGTAATAACTCAGTTTTCATTGCTTTTCTATGAGATAGGATAAAGCAGAGAAAAAGAAATAACTTGATCTTAGACATGCACTTTAACATTTAACTCTACAACCTCATAATTGAAATATGTTATTGTTATAAACCACTGTCATCAGATCAGTCTCTTAACGTTAGGAGGCATGTGGATTTGACTAAGGAAGAACGTTCTCCTCAAAATAGAGTCCTTAATAATGTGGAGGGAGTAAAACTTTCTGTAAAATGACAAAGGCCACGTGGAGATGGCCATATCTGACCTTTACCAGTTTTCTAAAGCGAAGCTGTCCCTGTCAACAACATCAACAGCACAAAACCAATTCCTGTGAGGTCCGACATGGCCTCCACACTCCCATACTTCTTTCTGCTCTTCTCAGCACCCATCTTAACTGCTTTACTAGGTCCAAAATCTGATGTAGTAATAGATCACAGAACCACATTGGGGAAGTCAAAAGGTTATAATCCAGGTTAGTAGCAGAATACAATTAGCTTCTGAAATGTGCTCATAGGCACTTCAGTTGAGCCTCATGCCTTTAGGCTAGTGTTACAAAGTTTTCTTTCCTGCCGGTATTGGCTCTCACCACCTCCCACTCCACACCCAAAGTTATCCAACAAACTTGGGCAGACACTTTTACTTAGCTCTGGCTCTGTTTGTGGTTGGTAGCAGTTCTAAGGTCAGCTCTGTCTCATAGCACGTCTCTGATTCTCTGCTGTGGCTGTTAATCTAGTCCTGAAGGATAGTTGGATACTCTTGCTTGCTCTTCTTTGCTAGTGGTGAGGTTTCTCCTTCTGCTGCTGGATCTGCTAAATTTAATAGTGAGACTAGACAATCCTCTTTGAATCCCCTTGTGAATAGGCTAACAGTCTCCAGTCACATATTCCCATACATCCATGTGGCGAAGTCAAATTCATTGGCTAGGAAAGCCATTCTGAATAATAAACTCCACACTTTCATAACTTTCTTTTGTTATTTTGACTTGGCTCAAAATGAGAATGAATAGTTGCAAACATCCATTAATTATTGGAATGTGGAATATGCAAAGTACAAATCTAGGAAAATTAGAAGTAGTTAGACATGAAATAGAACACATGACGATCACTATCTAGGCAATAGTGAAATGAAATGGACTGATATTACCATTTTGAACTTGATAATTATATGATCTATTGTACCAAGCAAGTGAATGCTTCAGGCCTTTTGTTCATAGGGTCGCTGTGAGGTGTGCTTGACTCGATGGCAATAAATAACAACAACAACATTATACCAAAGGTAATAAAATGAGGAGGAATGGTGTTCCATTAATAATAAAAAAATACATTTCAAGACATCCTGAAGTCAAACAGTAAGTTGACAATATTCACATGCCTACACATAGAGGACCAGATAATATTACTTTTATTCAGATTTGCCCACCAACTCCTAATGCCAAAAATTAATAAAGTTGTTTAGCAACTTCTGCAATCTAAAAGTGATTAAGCATACAATCACTATCTAGTGATAATTAACTAGGGATGAGAATGAAAAAATTGGGAACAAATAATCTCCTGAAACATACTTTTGAACATAGATTAAGTAAACATATGGAAGAAATGATGAGGTAAAAAAGCTGAACTGATTTTTGGCAAGCTCTGGTGGCCTAGTGGCAGGAAGCTGCACTGCAATCCCAGGGGTGAGCTGTTCTAATCTACCAGATGCTCTGCTGGAGAAGGAGGGACAATCTCCTTCTGTACCAGTCAGATCCAAGTTGATGGTACATACACACACACACAGACACACAAATAATAAAAATTTTTAAAAAATAAAAAGCTGAACTGATTTCAAAGGGTGGCTATAGAAAAACCAAAAATAAAGTAGTTGTTATGTGGAGTTGAGTTGACTATGACTCACAGTGACCTTATGCCCAATAGCTCTGCACCCTGCTCTATCCTGAGCCAACTGCACTGTCTTTGACACACCTGTCCTCATTAGTCCAGTTACTGTGTCAGGATCTGACTTTCCTGGGCTGTCCCTGCACCCTTCCAAGTGTGATATTTTTCTCCATAGACTGGTTTCTCATGGCACCGTGCCTAAAGTATGTGAGACAGAGCCTCAAAATCCTTGCCTCCAAGGAGCAGCTTGATTGCACCCTCTCTAAGACATACCTGTTAGTTCTCTTGGCACTCCATGGTATGTTCCTTACTATTCTCCAGCACAAAAATTCAAAGGCATCAATTATTCTTGTTATATTTGCTCATTGTCTAGCTCTTTGATGCATAACAAGTAATTGTGAAAACCATGACCTGGATCAGCCACACCTTGGTCTCTAAATGGACATTGTTGCTTCTCAGCAATCTGGAGGTCCTAGTAAAGTAGTATAATGAAATGTACTAAGTTCTGGAGTTAGAAAACCAAAAGGTCAGAACATTCTCAGCATTTATCAGGTTGAAATAACGGAAAAAATACTTCCGTTCTATAATTGCAGTATAGAAAGATTCTATGGGTAAGATATGGAATGACATGGAAAGCATCAATAGAAGACATATGTGGAATCACTACCAAAAAAACTTTGTCAACAGACCACTTCAGGGGTTTATTATTATTTTATGCCGTCGAATTGCCTGTGACTCATAGCAACCCTTTGTACAACAGCCCTGAAGCCTACCCTGTCTAGAGACAGTCTGACTTTGACACACCCATTGCCCCAGTTATTATATCAGTCCGTCTCATCCAGAGTCGTCTTCTCCTGCACTGTCCCTCCACCCTTTCTAGTATGATGTTCTTCTTTAAGGATTGCTCCCTCCTTGCCACATGCCCAAAGTATGTGAGATAGGGCTTCAAAATCCTAGCCTCCAAGGAGAAGCTTGGTTTCACCCTTTCCAAGACAGGCCTATTTGTATTCTTGGTGGTCCATGGTATGTTCAAGACTCTTCTACAGCACTACAACTCAAAGACAACAATTATTCTTCCATCATCCTTAGTCATTGTTCAGCTCTCTGATGTGTAACAAGTAATTGCAAAGACCATGGCCTGGATCAGGCACACCATAGTCTCTAGACTGACATAGTTGCTTTACAGTACTCTCGAGAGGTCTTTCACAGCAGATATACCTACTACAATTCATCTTTTGCTTTACTGACTGCTGGTGCCAAGATTGTTGATTGTGGACCAAGTAAGTTGAAATTGTTAACAACCTCGGTCTCTTCTCCATCTATCACGATGCTTCCAATTGGTCCAATGGTGAGAATCTTTGTCTTGATGTTGAGCTTCAATCCATATTGAATACTACAATCATTCACCTTCTGTGGCAAGCACTTCAGGTCCTCAAGTTTGTGTTACCTGCATAATGTAGGTTGTTGATGAGTCTTCCTCCAATCCTGATGCCACATTCGTCCTCATAAAGCGCAGCCTCCCGCAAGATCTATTCTGCATGTGGATTTAAAAGGTATGGAGACATGACACACCTCTGATGCGCTCCCTTCCTGATTTTGAACCATACAGTGTTTCCTTGCTCTGTTCTGAGGATTGCTTCCTGGTTGAAGTGTAGGTTTTGCATAAGCCCAATCATATGTTCTGGGATTCCTATTCTCTTCAGTATTAACCACAGTCTGCTGTGATCCACACAATCAAATGCCTTTGCATAGTCAATGAAACACAGATACCTCAAGAGGTAGGATGTTATAAAAAAAACCAATGGTATTGAAGAACAGAGTCAAGGGTTTAGGAATTGATAGTTTGCCAATTGGCAGGTTGTAACAAATGCACAATGTTCAAAGCATTTAGCTTGCCTGTGCAAAGAAATTGAGAAGACAGCAACTGGCTAACTGGCTTGAAGTAATCCATACTGTTTGCAGAAAGGGAATCACATGTGGAAACTGTCAAACATCATTAATATCACATGCAGGAAAACTTTTTTTGACGTAGTTGTTTGCTGTCATTTCAGAACCAAACTAT